AGAATAAATGTCTCTGCTGCTTCATTAATAAATTAAATTACCCTTATTACTTTATCAGGCATTGTTTGTGACTTTCCACTCAACAAAGTTCTCTTCCTAAATACAAATCATGGACCATATATATCATAATCTTCCTTAAAATTCAAAATGTATCACATTCATTAAATATGAGAATATCTGTCGTCAAATTTAAAGTTACGAATAACAAGGTGCCTACTCTAAATCCTTTTACCAAGAATGTAATACTTGTGTAAAAAAATTGTTCTTTCATCAACTTAAGAAACTTTTATAAATTTGTTCTTTACCTTCCAATTTTTGTCCTTGTCCAATGTTTTTGTTCATATTTTAGTGATAGCTAAAATATGTTAGGCCAATTTTACATTAAAACAAAACACTTTAACTTTGAAGAAACGAATAATATTCTATATTATGTATTCTTGTATTAATCCTTCATTTCAATGTTGTGAACAAAATGCAGAGTATTTAAGTTTATATATATGTAAATAATTTACATATACATACAAGAAATTAGCTTCTTTAACTGCAAATAAGTAATTTTGTTGTTCACAAAGTAATGTTCTATAACTAATATATCATCACGATATAAAGTGCTGTACTGTTTTGGACTGCAGTCAATATTAGTATCGAACGGAGATTTCTTCATCTGCGTACCAACTGAAACATAATATATTTGAATACATATTATAGTGTTGGCAATTCTGAAAACTTTGTTTAATAAATTATTATTGGAGTGAAAATGGAATTATTACAAAAACAAGAGATTTTCCGATAGATCACGGTTATATTATTTGAGATTAATTTATATATTTTTTATTTTACTATCGTTCAACTAGTAGGTACAGAAGTTGACCATTTGGTGGCATGACCACAGTTAATGCTACCAAACTATAATATTTTTTAATGTGGCAACATGGTCATTAGCCAAATTGTTTGCATGGTGTAGGTAGGTTTTTTAAAGCATTAAGTAGGGATCATTAATTTGTATACGTATATAAAGTGGATATACAAGATGTCCAATTTGTGAAATAAAAATTGTGGTTTAAAATTTTCATAAAATTCACTATAATTTATAAAAAGATTTGGCTTACACTAATTATGTTTCAAATGCCTCACCGATAAACTATAATATCATAATACAGAAACAGAACATAGCTATCATGATCATCAACTGCCGATTATAATTATTTTTTGTATTTATTACATAAATTAAGAATTTTTAATAAACATTGATGTACGAAATCATGTAAATGCACAAATCATCATCCTTGATCTGTTATAAAATCTTGATAACTTTTAATTTAATTTAGTTCGCATTCGGTCACCAAGTAGGTATACCGGGCGTTCTCATCAATCAATCCATCAATCATATATGTATATTATAATATATATCAAATTAAGAAGCATTATCAATTTATATCATTTTATTAAGTTTAAGAGTGACCAAGTTCCCGTACAATTGAAAAAACGTCAATGTTACTAACTTTGTTACCTTACTACTCTTAGGCCCAGTTTCACCAAACTCTGTTTGCTAAATTTAGACGAGGCATTTACTAAGGAATCTAAAATATAATTCTCAATTAAAATATTTATGTTCCAAGATAAAAAATAACCGTTTAATAACACGTTAAATAACCGTATTATTCGTTCTTGTTATAAGAGGACCAAATTGAAGCTATAGCGTTTAATGCGGAATTAAAAATTAGCTTACTTTCGTAAGCAAATTTGAATTCCAAATCAACAAGAGAATCTCACGAGTTTCTTCTCGACGAATACAACTTTCTAAATTGCTCGTAGATTATTTAAAATTTAATAATGTTTTAAGCATTACTTTTAAAATTTTCATGAATATAAAAATATTAAAATGAATTTCTATTACCAATACAGTAGCAGTTTTGCACACTTTGTATAAAGTTGTCTATTCCTGTATACTCTTTAGAAGGTTAACAAATTAACTTAGAGATCGGTTCAAGTCGAAGAAGCGTAGTTGTGGTACATTAATGTAACTCACTTGAACTAACCAAAGTAACCCAAAGATGTAAGTTCTACATCTAATGGAAATGTGGATTTATTTACTACGAATAAAGACTGCGTAAGTCAAAGATTTGTATTTAAAACAATGATCTAATGAAACTAAACATACATTTAAGATATGATATGTTAAACAGTCCACACTTAAGTCCTTTCTAATCGATATTTAGTTTTTGATAGGTATATCGTCGATATTAATTTCAAATTGTATGTAACGTTACGTATTTAACATCCTCCTTTTTTTAACAAGAAAGGTGGCTAAGCAGCAGACAGCCTACTTGATAAGCAGTTCTTACCGTCACCCGTGGAGCCGTTGCCAACCTGGGTGTAGGATCTCTGGTCCTACATGTAAGTATAACTAGTCACTGGCTCACTACTTACCGCCTAGAGCGTAGGCGCACGCTCCGTTCCACTCCGCGCTAGTCATTAGACTGCCGAGTGCATGCCACCTCCTCCAGTGGGGTACGTGAGACAGTGTATTATATCTATTGTATAGATACATACACTACACTTGGTCATTGAGAAAGAAGGAGTTGTAGGAATAAGAAAATGACAGGAAAGGGTAGGAACAGGGAAAGGACAACAGGCTCTTTCGCTCATCAGATGAAATGCAGCCATTAAAGATACTTCACACCGATCTTCTGTGAAAGGGTGGTACTTCCGCTGTCGGGCCAAGCCCATGTTCGAGCTGTAGTAATTGACCACAGCTAGGCTCTACCACCATAGAATACAATATACCTACACATTTACTAACTTTTACAGCTTATCCGCATAACCCGCTTTACAATTCCATATAGAAGATTATGGCTCTATATTATTAATTAAAATAAAATATATATGTAGTAATATTATAATTTATTTGTAATTCGTGATTCATCTAATAATTTGCTGTTGTTGTATTACCTCCGTTTTAGTAACCTTGTTTTTTTGTTAATGACTACTAATATAACTTATTATTCAATCGGTGGCTACATTAGGGTCCATTGTTTGTTTTATCTGTTCTAAATTATATATCGCGAATACTCAGAGTAACTATGATTTACTTGGATAGGAAAGCAGATAAATTAAATAAGTAAATGTTGTTGATTTTAACTGTAAAGCAATAATATGATTCAGTGACAATTACTCACTTTTAAATTGTTGTTTAAGCCTTTGATAATCCATTAAGTTATACCTAACGAATAAAATTGTGCTAACTGAATATTATGACTTAAATTTTTGTCTACAGATGAATTGTTGGTCTAGATAAAAATGTCTATGAAGCAGTAATCTTAAATGGTAGTTTATAAGTTGGAACCGTAATGATATTGAAGGTATAAAAGTGTACTGGGAACTTTCATCTGATATAACCTATCCATTCAGCGATCAATAAATCCATTATTTTATCAGAAGTATATTTATTGTCCCTTTGTCTTTACGAGCTGTTCAATTTAATTAATTGTTTTAGTTGTTTTGTCAGATTGAAACGATATTTATATTTAAATAAATGAATCCAGACTAAAACATTTATAAAAAAATAAAGAAACAGAGATAAGGAGGAGAAACCAAAAGGCAATTAAGAACAAAACACATTAAACAACTAAAACAAGTAAATGTAAGTAATAACGATATATAAAAAAATAATTATTTGTTAAAAAAGCGTGTTTTTATTTAAAAATATTGGAAATTAAAAGATTGAATGTGATCATAAGACAAGTATAAAGTAAGTTTTAATTCAAATATATATAAAAATATCACAAATTGTAAAAGAAATGATAAAAAAATACTTTTTTAAAGGTAAACTTCGCAAGTCGCGTTAAATTCTTTTGGCATGTTTTGAAATGTAGAAAATTACATTACAGCTATGGTGCTACCAGCAAGCATGTATGTATGTATAAGATATATAATAAATATTATAAATTAAGCTTCCAGATATGTATTCATTTCCATGTAGAATAACGCGTTAAATAGAATTTTTAATATATTATTTGTAATACCACTTTATAACCCTACAATGCATGATTTTTTTAAATCATCTCAAAAAAATATATGTGATTCTATATGGTGTCTAGACATAATAAAGTATGTAAACAATAATCAAAATCCATTAGTTTTATAGATATTCATTTATTAAATTTTGTTCCATATGTGGTACAATATGCATTTATACTAATATTTGGCTCTTAATTAGGAACAATGAACATAATAAAATAGTTTAAAATATATTACGTTTATGAATGAAATTTGTTAAAACAATTGTTATCTTTGTTCAAACACAACTCAACACGACACTTTTCGCAAGATATGTATGTTTTTCTTTACACTGAGGATACTTACAGCGTTGTCGATTATGGTTACATATGGGAAGATGATCAAATTTATCATGTCTTACATATCGAGATGAAAGGATAGCTGCATTATTTGTTTTCTTCTTCTCGATAATGTAAAAAATAATACAGCAGAAGAGGGTCTTCCTGTTTTTCTTTGGCCCGTCTTTAACGACGGACCACACATACAAAGACTTTTAGCTAGTTCTAGTTTAGAATTGTTTTATTTAATATGATTGGACTCTTTCTCCTGTTTTCCTACCTTCTTGTGTAGTAGCCAGCAATTTATGGTGGTAATATCAAAAAATTGGTAAAACAAACGTAAATACCATTTTTTAAGTACGCATTTTTATATAATGCTTTCCAAGAAAGAGGCCATCAAATCAACTCCTCCCATATGTTGATTATAAACTTTTACTATTTGAGGACAATCTACTTCAATGTACTTTTTCTGTTTCTTGCAATACCGTCTAATAGGCTGTAGTCGTACAAACGATGAGGACAAAACTACAGGCTTTTTATCATACCACATTACCACAAAAAAAAAATATAAAAAATTGTAATGGAGTATCCAAAGTTGTGATTAGTGACTTTAAATTTGTACTTCCAGAAAATTGTGGATGTTCAGTTTGCAAAAGATTTCTTTTACCATATTAAATTTATTTTCTTCCTCTTATTAGTTACATTATTCGTAATTTTATTTCTTCTAACTGATAAAGTGAAACAACTTCTATTTTGGCGTGATGAAGTACTTGGTCCTGCTATGATGGGCTGAGGATTTGTCGATTCTTCATTTATATTTTCGTCGAGGAAGGTACTGCAATTAGCAGAAGTAAATGCTTCATACCGAGTAGGCTCATTTTCAGAGTCACCAACTCCATTCATTTGGTACAAGTTTTTTCTGTTCTTCGCCAGGTCATTATCACTTTGCGCACTTGAAAAGTCTTGACTGTATTCAGTTTCTGACAGAATATCTAAATGCTGCTCAATCAACTCGTCAGACAATACCTTCTTTGCCATAATCTGTAATAAAATCCAACCAAAATAAAATAATAGAAGTGAACTAATGCACAGTGTTCCACATCTGGAACACTGAAATAAGTTGATATATATAAACAAAAAATAGTAATATTTAAAAAAAATTACTTACCTTCATTTTATGTACACTTTTTCTAATGTATTAGTATTTTTTTTTTTGCTTTCTAATATTCAAAAAACTATTTTTTTAAGAATTTTCAATTTACGTTAACCACGAGTACGCGTCAAACTTTCAAATTGTGTACGAATTACAATTACAATCGAAAGCTAAAATCATCCGATGACACTTACCCTTACTAATCCGTTGCTAAGGGTTCAAAGATTATACTTTCATTCAACATATGACACTAGGTGTCTTTAAATGAACGGTAAACTTAATTATTGTGACTGTACCAGATATGGCACAAAATGCATTGTAGGGATAATTATGAAAGAAAAATAATTCAATTAAAAATTTCCTCCAGATTTAAACATTTTCTAACAATCCATAAAGAATATTTAATCTATTTATAGTGTCGTAATACATTAAGTCTTCACTTCTGTCAACACTCAAGCCTTGATTACTTTTTCTTATCGCTAACTCAACTGAAGAACATACAGTCTACATTACGAGTGAAAGCTAATTTTAAATTCCTCTTCAACGAGAAAATCTAACGAGTTTCTTCTCGACAGATACAACTTTCCAGGCTGCTAATATATTATTTTAATTCTTATAGATATTCAAATATTTTTATTTTTTGTAACTGAATTAAATATCATAATTAGTATAATAAATTTCAAACAGTTACTTAGTATTGTATGTTACATAGTTGTCTATTTTCGTCCACTCATTCACCTATCACCAACTTTTAAAACGTATTAAAATGTTTATATGCATGTTACATTTAAATTATCAATAAATTATTTATATGTAAGACCATTACAGTAGCAAATGAAACAAGGCTTCCTTAAAGTGAACGTTTATAATATTTAGAGTAATCACTGTTTATTCATTATATATAAATTTTACAAATACATATTATACAAAGTGTCTGAAGTATTCGGAAAATATTTTTTAAAATAACTTAAAACCCGTAACTTTCTAAACAAATTTATATATAAAAAAATCGTTGACTTATAACGTAAAAAAATTTAAGATAATTTGTAATATTTATTCATAAACTCATACTTATAAACTAGTATTGATGATATATCATTCAGTAAAACGTATTCAGGTTACTGATAATGTTAATCAGACTGACAACAAGGTGACTTCACTATACATTGATTGATACTTTATGTCACTGGTTAACCCTCTTTACAACTGAGAAGACTGATGGACAATTTACTAGCTATAGAAATCTTATATGTGATCAAAATATATACGTCTTTTTAATTAATTATAAAATTGAAAAATCATTTCTTTTTTTTTTCATTTAGAATACATGTTTAAGGAAACAAATAAAAACTCTCTGTTTTCGATTTTAAAATACTGTTGTGTTTCTAATTAATAATTTAAAGGATTCATGGAAATATTTTTCTTTTATAGTAAAGATTGCAAAACTAGCATATAAACGAGCATATAAACGGCCTACCTGTTGTGGAGTGGTGACGTAGCCCATGAACATTTGCAAAATTGTGTTGCGGATAGGTTACTAGCCTTAAGGGAATGATGGAATGGAAGGATGCTGATAGTCCAATAACTATCCTATCAAGGAGCATTGCTTTTATTACGGACATGGCGGTGAGTAAAGACTTCTTCACGCCGATTGAACAAATAGCATACTAATAAATACTGATAAAGACTTCTATCTTACATTTCATTTAATTGTAGCAAATTCTGTAATTCTGAAAAAAATTAAGCTCAATTCGAGTGAGTATATCAATATTAAATTAATATGATACTATACACGGAACATTGAACGTTTGTTTACAATCAATAAAGAAATAAAAACATTGAATCTCATACGACTAAATTCAGTTTACAAACACGTGCCTCTAGCAGATAAGTTGAGTATCAATATTTAATATGCGACCGTCATATTTGTGTTTGAAAATTAAGTTAGTAATATGAGTGATACGGGATCTGATGAATTTAATTAAGGTTTGCCTTTCAGTGATGTTGTCTGAGGTATAAACTTAAATATTATAAATATATTACAAAGTCATCTGCTAGAGTTTTTGTTGACTAATTTTTAAACATACCAACTGACTCATTTTCATATTTTCAGTGACAAATTTGAGTATTTGTAATTGTGTATACTTAAAGAAACTAATGTATATATATATGTATGTGTTTGTATATAATATTAAACAATATTTTTCGTTAAAAATAAAGGAATTAATTAATTTGGTTCATTAAAACACAGATAAATATTATTAAGATTAATAATAATAGTAATGAATAAAATTTTAAACATGTTTCTAAGTGATTCTCGAAATTAATGAAGGTATTCATGTAACGAAGAACGTTTAAAAAGGAAATATTAATAAATTGTTATACATTTGTCTAACATTTCATTATTCAACAAATTATAGGTCGTGTTAGAACGACTTAGAATTAAACAACAAAGAGAAATCTGTTTACAGTCATAAAGCCTGAGATACTTAAAGAGTATTTAAAATTATATAATTTTACTTACAATAAAGTGTAATAAAAAATTATCGATTTTCAATTGCTAAACCTTTCAATCATATTTATTGAAGTAGATATAAGCAAAGGTCACTTCAGAATTATTTCTATAATTCTGAAGCTAATGAGATCTAAGATATCATACATCGGACAGACAAAGAGAAGCATCGGTATAAGGGTTAAGGAACACATTTCAGATTGTGACACATGATGATTTCAATGAAATTTTGCATGGTTATACCTTATATCCCTGGTCAATATCTTATATACTTTTTATTCCGGAAAACTAAAGGGTTCCCGTTTGATAGTGAAACACCATAGTAACTTGGACATCTCAGTACAACTTATGTAAGCACATGAGTTGTACTGAGATGTCCTTACCTTATGCTGATACTCTAATTTTTATTACATACATAAGATCACGTCTTGATCCCTTGCGGGGTAGAGTCACATAGGCCATAAAACCCTAAAGGTAAAGTTTAGCATATTAGTGTAATTAAGTGTGTCATCGTATGTGTTCGATATATGTCATGGAAGATAAATAAAATAATAATACAAGCAGTCTTTATAGCCGATGCAGAATAAAAAATATAATTTACTAGAATTTTGTCTGTAAGTTGTGAATGTGTATGTATGTGTATGTGTATGTTTGTGAATGCTTTTCTCAGAAATAGTTTAATTGATTTAAGTGCGATTTCTATTGTCTCATATAAAGTTATCCTTTTCACGATACATTGTAAACTCTATATAACGACACTGAAGGGACTGTTCATTTTATGGCGTTATTGAGGGTTGTCGTTAAATAGAGAGAAGAAAAACCAGAATTAGACAAAGACAAAGTTTATTTCAGACTAGTGTTAGTACTTATGTACATAAAAAAGAATGATATTCGAACGCTATTGCGTATAGTCTGTTATTTTTGTTTGACGTCGTATTGTTGTATTTTTTTACTTATTTTGTTGTATTTTTTTACTTATTTTATTCATATCGTGCGATATTAAGGCATCTTGGTGAAGAAAAAAATTCTTAGAAAGTTCGGTATGCATGATTTCGACAGTCGAGTTTATTGCGGGCTAGATAAATAGATAACAAAGCGACAAAAGAACGTACACATCTGCGCAGTTTTTACTAATTTTAGCAACTTGAAGGGTACTTTTTATTACATAATTGTTATCGTTATTGAGAGTGGGTGTGATGCGATGTAGAGTGTATCATTGTATGGTAGACAAGCTAAACCAACCAAAGTCAAATGATTTCGACGCTTTAGAGAGTTCGTCGTTAAGTCGAGTGACGTTACATGCAGTTTACACTGTATTTGATATTTTAAGTTTTTATTACTAAAGGTCACTGATGCTCAGTTTATGAATATTTTTTTTATTTCCAGCGTTTAAAATTGAAGTTTGAAGTTTTTGTATTTAAGATACTCAGAATAGAGAATCAGAATACATCTGTATCCAATTCTTCACATTTTATTTTATCTACAAGTAGCGGTAGATTGCCGCTTCGCCCGCGTTTACCATGCTAATGAAGACGCGGGCGTGATTTTACATAGCCTTCCTCGATAAATGGACTATCCTTAACTGAAAGACCGTTCAAATTAACTCCTTTATATATTCGTATAGGAAATATTTACGCAAAAATCCAAACTTCGTATTTTCATTTTTTTTCTGTAAGTAAACTTCGCGTTTCGCGTTAAATGCTTTATGCATGTTTTGAAATGTAGAAAATTACATTACAAATACGGCGCTACCCGCAAAATTATTTTAAATCTAAGTATATTAAATTAAGTTCCAATATATGCATTAATTAATATATATAATAACGCGTTAAATGTAATTTTTAATATAATCTTTGTAGTATTACTTTATAATTAAGAATGAAAAATATTTCAATTAAAATTTTCCTCCAGACTTAAACATTTCCTAACAAGCCATAAAGAACACTTAATCTATTTATAGTGTCGTAATACATTAAGTCTTCACTTCTGTCAACACTCAAGCCTTGTTTAATTTTTCTTATCGCTAACTCAACTGAAGAACATACAGTTTACATTACGAGTGAAAGCTAATTTTAAATTCCCCTTCAACAAGAAAATATAACAAGTTTCTTTTCGACAGATACAACTTTCCAAGCTGCTAATATATTATTTTAATTCTAATTAATATTCATTTTTTTTTATTTTTGTAACTGAATTAAATATCATTATTTTTATAATAAATTTCAAATAGTTACTTAGTATTGTATGTTACACAGTTGTCTATTTTCGTCCATTCATTCACCTATCACCAACTTTCAAAACGTATTAAAATGTTTATATGCATGTTACAATTAAATTATCAATAATTTATTTATACCTAAGACCATTACAGTA